GAAATATTGACCTGTGGATCAAAATTAGATTTATACATACATACAAATATATATATATATATATATATATATATATATATATATATATATATATATATATAAAAATTCTTCAAAACAAAGACAGAAAATGATAACAGAGTGTGAGTAACAAGCTTTTCGAAGTGAGGCTCATCCTAGGAAAGTAGAATGAAAAACTAAGCAAGACACGAAAAGAACCAATCACATTGTCGCAACTTTTCTACGATTGAACCGAATGTGAAACATTTCAGTTTTGAATTGAAATGGACCTTCCAATTAAGGCTAGAGGACAATCTGCAAACATCGCAAATAAAAACAAGTTTTAATATTACCTGTCATCGTTCCAAAAAAGATGACAGATGGGAACTAGAAGCTTGAAAAAGATGTCTGGATTTTAGAAGAGAAAAGAGAACCCAGTGCAACATGAATTTGACGCTTGTACTCATCATTGTCGGAGTGCTTGAAACAGTCTGAATAGTTGCGATAAAAAAATCTTTGAAATTAAGATGACAGCAATAATAGTAACAAAAGATTAATAATGATTGGTTAAAAAATTCAGAATTTTTCCCAAGATTTTTGGACTAATCATTATTTAGGCGGAAGAGGGTTTGGATTTTCTTCCATTAAATTTCGAATCGATTAAAATCTAGTGTTTGTAATCTCCAAACGTGATAATTAATTGTAGCAAATTAATCCAAAATGAGTGGGTAGGAACAGTAACCTGTTGAGAATTGTGCCAATGATTTGCATTTGACCATGGAGATTAACAGCAGATTAGCGACATAAGTATAAATTGGAAACTGCTCAAGAACAGTTTGGGATTTTGAATTGAAACTGTTCTTTCAATTCAGATCAAAGGACAGTCTGTAGAGTTCGTAAAACAAAGGTAAGATTTACTATTCCTTCCCATCATTCCAAGTAGACGACAGGTTGTAAAAAAAGTTGGTAAAAATTTTGAAAAATTCTGGATCAGAAAAGAGAAGAGGAAGACATATTTAAAAGGAAGCTCAATATTATCAATGAAAAAATTTGGTTTGTAAAGAGATTTATAAAAAGGTACATTTTCGTATTGTCTTTTATAGACAGCAATTAATTGATAAATAAAAAAAACCCATCCTTACCGCATCAGTGACGGTTTTCAGAAAATCGAGTTCTTCCTGTAAAGCCTCAGCACGTGAATGTTCAGCGATACGTTGGTTGGTCTCATCTTTCAAGTCCTATATCCGAAATAAAAGGAATTCATATATTATTGAACACTTTTTATAGCAATGTAATACCTAGAATTTTTTTTGTAATAATGTTCACATAGTACAAGGCCCAAGATCCACTCAAAGTAGGGCTGATGGAATGAGAGCCACAGTTTATAGGGATATGTAGAGAAAATAACGGTTAATGCTAAATTTGAAAAGGTTAAGATTGATCGAGGAAGCATCTTCTTCGGAGTCAGTTCCCCAAAGTGTGAAGAAGCTGCTCAAGTGGAACTTACATCTCACCAATGAAGGGAATGGTAGCGGCTCGATTCAATGTGCATACAATGGCATGTCTTTGTCGTGAAGGATAGAATTGAAGAAACTAAGGAATGCAGTTCTTCTGAACACTTTCCATGAAAAAAAGCGATAGGGTAGCGAGCGGCTTGCAACGTTTCGACGATTTAAAAGGGGATAGAGAGTGGAAGTTAATTCATCACCTACAAGGCCGCGGATACGCTTTTGATCTCTATTGTGACTGAAAATCGATGACTGGGCAGCAGTACTCCATTTAATGATTATCGGATAAACTAAAATTATGACAAACTTTCTGGTATCCGCTCTAAGGTATGCGCATCTAATGTATGTTTAACCTAATCGCGAATATAACCAGAATAGAAAGGAAGATAACTTGGATTGAACTTATTCAAAGAAACAACTGCCTACCAATGCATTACAAGAACTGATCAAAAATCGAAGATCATCAAAGACAGGCTCAAGGCCAAATGGATACATTGCATGTGTTGCACTCATTGTACAGAACTGACTTGATAACCCACGTATCTGGAGCCGTATTCCGATAGTGCTCCAGTTAAGAAATACATTGGTCAAGAGCAGAAGGATTTGGGATCTGGTGCCTAAGGCATTCTTCAGGACTGACAAAGTTAGCACGCTACCAAATGTATCTGACACGTCACCCAAATAATACAGCCTTATTGGCGATCGATTTCATTAAACGATTAATGGAATCGTCCTTTTCTTGTCTGCATAAATAATAACACAGTCAGTAGATAAAGATACAATTTACAGAATTCAGAAATTTACTTACGGCTCTGATGGCCTGCAGTTGCGAGTGAAGTTCATTGTATTTGGCTCTCCAATGACCCACTTGATGCTCAAGTTCTTCCACCTTTCTACGCAGCATATCGCATTCAGCGGTCCGATGAGCATTTTCATCATTAAGGCTATTGACTTTGTCTTGCAATTGGTCAATCCTTTCTTCATGGAGACGGCATCTGAAAATAAATACATAAATATGTATACCTACGCCATTGAACAAACTATACATCTATTTACAGTACTCAAAATGTACAGTTGTATTTAAAATAAACATGATTTTGATAAAACTGTTGTTTTATTTAACTATATGTAATAATAATGCATATAATATATTCATATATTAGTATCGTATTATAAAATACAAACATAGCGAATATGCATCTTTTCCATTGCTTACGTTTATAAGATGTTTGGCTGTTTCTCGTTTGGTTGTTTATGGCTGTACGCGTTTACGAAACGAGTATAACGTTACTAACGATACTTTTATCATTCTCTTTTAATTTTTTAACTTATTTAACTCGAAGATGGGATAAAGAGATAGAGGAAAAGAGGTTAGTCTATTGTAATTTGGTCTCTCTAAATAGGAACTCTCATGATATACGAGATACATGATAAAATCATTTTTTATAAGTGAAAATTTGGGAGTCGCACGATAAGCGAGATCACACGTTACACGAATTCTAGTATGGTAATCTTAGGAAATGGGGAGCCTATTTATGCACGGATTATTATTTCTGTCTAGAAGCGCAGTGTGTGTGTGTGTGTGTGTGTGTGTGTGTGTGTGTGTATTCTGTCGAAACAAGCAAAGTGTCACTCTCCATCCATTTGGATTCTTTCGAACTTTATATTACTGCACGCTGTTCAAGAAGTAGTTCACTTGCTTAGTGAACATATCGGTTGCCTCATTGCCTTCAGGTTGAATATCTATGAAAATCTATACCTGTCACACAGATATGACAAAACTTAGTTCGATGCAACATAAAGAAATCACATAAATGTTAGAAAACCTTGATCTACATGGAAAGGATATACGAATAATTAGAACTTTCAAGCAAATAGAAAAGAATTTAAATTTATACAGTAGAATAGAAAGTAGAATATGAAAATACATAACTTAAATTTATCAAATTTGGAAATTTAACGTATCAACGTGTTTTCCTATACGATTCGTTTGCCGATTGTGAGTTTGAAATGTTTTTACGTCAACATTGAAAATGGGTGGGGGGAGAATGTGCTGTATTTTCATCATTTGACGCTTTCTTATTTTTGTGTAAATAAAATACGCCGAAGAAGCATCAAAAAAGCTATGTGCCGTTTATGGAGAAGGTGCCATAGCTGAGGGTACTGTTTATAAGTAGTTGGCGTGGTTCAGAAGTGGAATTGATTTTTATTTGGAAGACCGAGAACATGCCCGCACCCCTGTAGCCATTCATGATGACCAAATCAAAAAGCCCTGCTTTCCGAAACAATTTTAACTCTGCTGCCTGAACTCCTGAGTCAAAATTCGCAAATAATTGGTATGTAATGTTTTACGGTAGATATAAATATAGTTACAAGTGTTTACCCACCGTTCAACCGGTGGCTGGGCATTAAGTCATTTTTCACTACCACCGGTAAAGCAGTGGTCATGGCTCAAAGGGTTAAAGCTAATCCAGGTTACATGACATAGGATATTGCAGAGATTTCTTTGTAATATCCCATGTCAACCTTACCTGTCGTAAAGCATTTGATATCACTTGGGCATGTGAATTACTGTGATATTTGAATGCCATACGATTTGACAGAAAAAAAAATTAATGGACTGCATTTACATCTGAGATTATCTTCTCAAGCACGTATAAAATCGATCAATTCTTTAAAAGAACAATCACAGGTGATGAAAAATGGGTTGTTTACAACAATGTGGAGCATTAAATTTCCCACCGTTGTAACGTCGCTTCCGTGTACTTTTTCATATAAATAATTTCACGGTAATTGTTCCTATGAGCTTTTCTTTTTGCTGTCTCGACTTTACGAATTTAAGTACAGTACTAGATTGGTGGAAAGGTGCCATCATTTAACAGTAGAAATGCTTAGATGCAACCGTAAGTTCTATACTAACATTTTTTTTTTCTATAATATGCTTGTTGAAATCTCTTCCGGCGTCTTGCTTCCCAGTTAACATGCAATGCCAATCGTTTTCTGTCTTCTTGCTTCTTTATTGTTTTCTCTCTTTAATAGTTCTTTTTTTTCATATTCTCTCACACTCAATAATCCATTGTTTCTTAGTGGCTTTATTGCCTTGCTTGGGGTGAAATGTTAAAAAGATAAAATAAGTGTCCTGGGTAAAAATGAAATGGATCATAGTTAAGTACTCCAGATGTTTGTCTGCAAACGAAGAAGTAGTTACTGGGTATCTGGTGGAATTGGAACAAAATTATATATTTCGAAATTATTTTGCAAAATCAGGCTTTGAATTCGGGCAACTACTTTTCCCAGTTGAACCGGGTAAAAGCAGCAATCTCTGAAAAGCTTTCAAATTATCCGATTGGAAAGGAATTGTCTTTGATCAAGAAAACTTCGTACCTGACCTCTCTTCGCAATTCCGGCAGAAATTGGTACAACTTGGCTGGGATCTACTACTACTACTACTACACCTGTTCTACAAAAAAACACGCATCTTCGGAATTCCAATTATTTCAAACCTTGCAAAATTCTCTGAATGAGAAGCACTTCAATTTTCTGTAAGTCTCTAAAAATCACTTAGATCCGAGTTTGTCACCCAGAATGATTCTGGGAGGATGGAATCATGAAGAAGATTCAAAAATAGTAAAAGTCAGCGGAACAAAATGCTACATGTGTGGTTGAACAGATTAATGTAAAAAATATCTAAATATTGTCTTAAAGATTAACTTAAAAACGCTTCGAACTTTTGTTCCAACTTAGCACTTTCTAAAAAGAATACTAAACGGCTACGTGATATCTGTTCTCCTTTATAGCAATGAGTGCCGGACAATGTCCTCAAAGATTTGGTTTTACTAGGGGGCGTAGCTTTAGTACAATAAATTTTCATTCATTTTTTTTTTGGGGGGGGGAAATTAAAATGTTTTATTATTTAACGTACAAAATACCCCGACTAATTAAAAACAAAATGATTAAGATAATTAATAAAAATGCAATATTGTTTTTTTGCAAATCTTTTTTTTTTTATTTTTATATACAAGAATCAAGTTTTCAGTTCACCCAGCATTTGTGAGAACTATAAACAAATCATAAGGCAAAACGCTTCAAGAAATTGAAATTTGTCTCCAGAAAGAAATATTTACGCAGAGCCAGTTGTATGTTGCGTGCTCAAGAGTAAGAAATCCTAAGAATCTATTCTTCGCTGTTAAAAAGGAAAAAAAGAAATTTTCTTAAAAGGTATTGTTTAACATGAACTCCTATAAAATTGAAATTAAATTAAATTAAAGAAATTATTAAACCGTGAAGTAGGTTTCTTATCAAAGTATTTTCCCAAATAAATCAGATTATTCAAATTTCATCGATTGGTTTGCGAAATTGAAAGAGGCGTAGAGTTTGTGAATTTCGACAAAAATGTTAGCGATAACTGACAATATTAAATATTGTGAGCATTTTGACACACGTCAGCGTGTTGCAAAAATAATTCTAGTACTAGCAAAAAATAAATAATGTTTAGTCGTGACTTTTGGATCAGTTATTATTTGGACATCAGAGATTTTGAATTTTCTTCGATGAAATTTTGATTCGACAAAAAAAAAATCAACGTTTCTGATGTTCAAATAGCTTATCCTGTGACAAGTAACGGGAAAAAAATGAACCCAAAAAGATTGGATACATACAGAAAACACAAAGAAGACATTGGGAAAGGTCTACACAAGTCATTGGCACATTACGGCCCGCAAGTCGCTTACGGTCTATTTTCTCTATGGCGCGCTTAAATAAATAAACGTTTGTTAATTTTTTTCATTCTCATTTATTCACTCACATACTCTCGCATATATAACTAGACCCATGAACAATGATTAAGTGCAATGTTTTTTGAATTTCGTAAACATTCGATGAAAATAACGTTTTCATCATTTTAACCGATAGGCGATTTTCACTAAGGAAGATCATACGTGTAAAGCATCCCTTACTTTTGAAACAACATAGTTTTTCTTTAAAGATAAAACATGTTTTTATTTTGAAATGAATAAATTAGAAATAAATCCCATGCAGCGACATCTGATAATCACACTGTTATCATTGATAATATTATATCAAGACTTCAGTTTTTTTAATTATAGAAAAATGTTTACTTCAAGCAAAAAGGAATCATCCTTTCCCACATTTTAAAGGTATATGCTTGCGCACAGTCTTCTGAAGGGAAAATAGCTGAGGTATCTACTACAACCTTGAATCTATTTAGTAGGACGGCACACCTTGTGATGAGCGGCCCACTGTTAAAAAGAGGTTGACCATACCGGTACAAAACTAACTTTTCTAAGTTATGGTAATTCTTATATAACTAGCAGCATGGCCCAGCGTTGCCCGTGCTTGATTCAAAAATCGTACGACTCATACAGCAATCGCTATCACTTGACTTAAAATATTTTTGCCCTTCCTTGCCTTTAAAGGAGTGCCCTTTGCTGTGCTGATGTTGCTACATTCCTTACTTGCCTCACACTGCGAATTTTTTCTAAGCTCTATACTAAACATTAAATCTGTTACGAAAAAAGAACTAAACAGAATGAACACAAAACGATCAGCTTTAAAAAAAAGGACTCGTAACTAGAAAAACCGAATGAAAAAAGAATGTTAACAACAAATACTTTTTCACATCCAACCCAGTTCTGCGGAATCAGAATCAACGTTGAGTTTAAGCAAGCGAATGAGCAATTGGAATAAAGTGCCATGCAGATTTAAATTTTTCCCACTTGTGACGAATGCAGCTATCAATTTTTTTGCATGCTAGTATGCTAGTTAACATTCGTGTCAGTCACTGGCCAATAGAATCTTCCTGCCTATTGGTGGCAGCCAGCTATAGGCTCTCACTCTGGCCAGTAAAAAATGGCCGCAAACTACATGAAAATTGCTGCAGAAGCATGAAAAAATCAATTATTTCCACTATCGATGGGAGTTGGGAAATGCAAAGTCGGTCTTGGCCTTCCCGCTAACTTGGAGCATGTGCATGTAA